CCTCCCAACAAGGTCAATTGACAAGGAATCTTTAAACTTTGAAATTGTCATAAATGTTAGCTTGTTAAGACTAAGCATTTGCTGTAGAACGAAAGAGTAAGTTCATTGCAAGACCTGAAGCCAGTCTTGAGTCACTCAGAGCATTCCCTTTGGAAATTTTACCATTGTACTTCAGCGGCTGCCACCAAACTGCAAAGTCCAATTGGCAATATTTTAGGAACTTTGCAAATACTATTGCAAAACTAACATTAGGAGAACATGTACTTATATTAGCCTATAAGTTATTTTGTTGATTTTGTTTGGTTCTCTGAGAATTTTGTATGTGTCTTTATCATATTTACCTTCTCCTTGAAGTCCTTGCAGATTTACTTTTCCACCCAATTAACCAACTTTCTGACCTTTTTTTTCCTTACATACCCAGAACCCAGGTGGAAGACTGGTGAACAGAAAGGTCCACTTCTAACTCCTAAACTTTTTTGTTAAATTGGAAAGGCCAAGCTAATCATCTAATCTACCTGAATGAGAGCACTACCTCTTCGATGGGAAATTCTGCATCAGTAAATAAAATAGAGAAAATGATCAAGAAATATAGGGAATGTCAACCTATGGTCTGTACACATACACACACACACACACACACACATTCTCTCACATGTACTGCACATGCACCAAGTTGTGTATAAACACATACATGCTCCACATAAACATATACATGTAAATAAAAATTAAAGCAAGTAATAGAAGCTAGGGTTGACATTTTTGTAAAACTGAAAATAAAAAGGCATTTCAGTGTGAGATCCATAAGCACAGACGCGGCCTATCATCAGCATACCCATCTCCAGAAAGAAGCTAGAGAAAAGGACATCTCACATCCATGTAGGTTAATCTGTAATATCGACTTGACTGGATTTAGAATCATCTAGGAGACGACTATTGCTCAAGTCTTTGAGGACATTTCCAGAAAGATTTAACCAATGACCCAAGATCTACCCTGGACATTAGCTGTACAGTTACAGGGGTAGGGGTCCTGATTAAATGAAAAAGGGGGAAGGACAAATGGAGAAAAACACATGCATATTGGTATTCTTTGCTGTCTACATCCCGATCCTCTGAGATACGAGATATAAGCAAGCAGCTCCCCAATCACACAGACCGTAGCTGGTCCTACTGCCCTGTCTTCCTAGATTCCATAAAGAATGGCTTCCCCTGCACTGTAAGCTAAAATAATTCCTTACTCCCTTAAGTAGCTTTTGTCAGACATTGTGTCACAGCAACAAGAAACATAACTGACACACATCCTCCACTCATTTCTTAAGTAAATGTCCTATTAATGTTACTGTACACTTTAGCATTCCGCTCCAGGTATTAAATCTGTTAAAGTTACAGTACTGAACACAGTGAGGTGTCTCTGGGTGGCTTAGAGTCTTACAAAGGCAGACTACTTAACATGAAGATGGAGCTGGAGACATGATGAAAATGTGTAAGATGGGGAACATTTCACACGGCTGTTTGTGAGATGCTAGCCAGCATGTGCAAAGGGGAGGAAACTATAAGACGAAGATAAGTACATGAGGACAACTGAGCTAAACCAATCAGCCCGTGTGAGTCAATCTGGTTTTTGTTAATTTTTCAGGAAAAGCTTGAGTTGTTTGATCCTCGGGCAAACTTCCTTGTCAGAAACCTGGAATACCAGGACCTCCTGATGGGAAATCTTTTCATGTGGTCATGGAATGGGGAAAGGTGGCCCAAGATTAACTCGAAAAAATCAGTAGCCCTCCTTTATACAGATGATAAATAGGCTAAGAAAGAAATCTAAGAAACAACACCCTTCACAACAGCCAGAAAAATCATAAAATATCTTGCAGTAACTCCAACCAAATGAGTGAAAGACCTGAATGACAAGAACTTTAAATCTTTGAAGAAAGAAATTGAAGAAGACACCACAAAGTGGAAAGACCTCCCATGCTCTTGGGTAGGTAAAATTAACATAGTAAAAATAGCAATCTTACGGAAAGCAATCTACAGATTCAGTGCAATGCCCATCAAAATCCCAGCAAAATTCTTTACTGACCTCAAAAGAACAATACTCAACTTCATCTGGAAAAGCAAAAAACCCAGGGTAGACAAAATAATCCTGTATAATAAAGGAACTTCTGGAGGCATCACAATCCCTGACTTCAATCTCTATTACAGAACTACAGTACTGAAAACAGCCTAGTATTGGCATAAAAACAGACAGCAGGACCAATGGAACTGAATCGAAAACCCGGATATCAATCCACACACCTATGAACTCCTGATTTTTGTAAAGAAACAAAACTATTGTCCTTTATAAAGTCATTTACAAATAAAGATTTCCCAAGCTTGGGCAAGAGCAACGAAAAAGATGGATAGAGTAAGTCAGAAAAGGAACTATGGAAATGAGAGATGCCACTAGAACTCCAAAATATACTCTCACGGTGAGCATATGTACTCTACACAAGGAAGAACAGTCGCCATATCATTGTATAGGAAGGCTCAGAAGATGGACAGAGTTCACCCAAAGTGAGAGGTTAATACAGGTTCCAGCTATAATTCCAATCATAAGAAATTTCTTATGGAAATTTCTTAATAAGTGGGAGAAAGTGCACTAGCTTAGGACAGCACAAGCTCTAAGCAGAATGGCACAAACCAGACACATAGATAGCCAGAAAAAAAAATGTGTATGAAGGAAGAGGAAGATCTGATGCAGAAACCCAGCTGTGTGAATTCAGATAGGAGGTTCCCAGATGAACCCCCAGGAGTTAGAGGATAGAAATACTTCATCATTTTCTTTGTTTCTTTTTTCCACTGTATTTGTTTGTTTGTTTGTTTGTGTTTCTTTTGGTTTCTGGAGACAGTGTTTCTCTGTGTAACCCTGGATATCCTAGAACTAGCTCTCTAGACCAGACTAGCCTTGAATTCAAAGATCTGCCTGCCTCTGCCTCAGAGTGCTGGGATTAAAGGTGTGTGCCACCATCCCTCAGCTGGGTAATCACTCTTATGCCAACCTACAAATAGGTCGGATTGTGAATGTCTTCTCTATCAGCAAGAATGAGTTAGTTACATGTTGGTAAAGTTAAGAAAGACTGTTGAACAAAGTTTAGGAAGGCAGCAGCTGATATCCTGCTTCAGTTACCTTATTTCTGATTTACTTTATTTCTGTTCTCTTTGTATTTATCTAGAACACAGTGAACTATCAGTATATATAGTATGGAATATATAATTAAATGTGTTATGTGACAACCCCACTGTATATGAAACTATCAATGTTGTACACACTATATTGTGAATACTTAGAATGGCTATTCATATTTAATATGTGCTTAAATTAGTGTTGACTATTTGCCTACTATGACATACATATCTATTATTTTTATTTTTCAACTTTACCTGAAATTAAAGGCTCTCAGAGTCCTCTATTTTTGTAGTAGGTAAATAAGATGTGCCAGTCATTTACTTGAACCTGACACATAAAAATGTATACACACCAGAGTGGTTCCCAGGATACAGCCAGTAGCGAGTCCAGGTTTTGGAGAAATCCACAGAACTCTCTGTAAAGGTCTAAAGCTGTAGAAGAATGCGGAAGCACTCACTTTGTATACATGGAGAGCTGAATTCACTTCCCCAGAACCTTATAAACCTGGTGTATTGGGACGGTTATCCTCTTGCTACCCATGAGCTCGAGGTCAGTCTGGGTTATATGATACCACATCTTGAAAACAAACAAGCAAGCAAGCAAAACATAACTCTCAGATATAACCAAGAATGTTCTTATTCTGAACAATAGGATGATATAAACCAATTCCTAGAATTTCATGGCATGTCTCAGTGAGTACAGAACTATGACATATCAATGGGTTCCTTAAAATTCTGTCCTATGAATCTGGAAGAATTATCTGTTCTTCAGAGATGTCACACTTTTCCCAAACCTATCACTGATTTCTCTCTCTCTCTCTCTCTCTCTCTCTCTCTCTCTCTCTCTCTCTCACACACACACACACACACACACACACACACACACACACACACATGCACACACACACACACTCAAGCTATATACATAAGCATTTAAGCATATGTGCATGCACATAACCTATATCTTCTAGTAGCCTTTCTATAATTCATAGGTCAGAGATTAGAAGAAATTAGATATCACTTTTATTTCTTGACTTGAAAATATTACTTCAGGGCCAAAAAAAATGGCTTGATATTGAGATCACTTGCTATTCTTAAGAAAAAAAAACCCAAGTTGGTTTCCAGTCACATGTGTTGTACACAACCACCTGTACCTCCAGCCCCAAGACATTCGACACTGCGTTTTGGGTTCTGCAGGCTTCCACATAGTCGGGGCACTCACTCACATTGACACACACATATACATACACATATATAGAAATCATAAAAACAAATATGTATAATATATTTAAAATGAAACAGTGTGCACACAACTTTCCAATCATTTTTCATGGTTGGAATTGATGAGATTTAATGCATCACCAGAGTTTATATATTTCTGAGAGTCAAACAAGCAAGGAAAAGTCCCCTTCCAACTAGTCCTAAATCCCACCATTATCACTGCAGCCTCAGTAACAAAGGGCCGTGTCCCTGTGCTTGCACCATCCAGAACAGACTATGAAGAAAGGTCAAAAAAAGAAAGACAGAGATGATTGTGCTCTAATTATGTTTCAGAGGAAAGAATCAATTCACATGGCAGACCCTCTACAGAACAGAGCGGCCGGCTCGAAGAGCCCTTTGTGCAAACCCGCTTTAGTCTCTCCGCAGATAAAGAAAGGAAGGAAACCAGAGTTTATTTTAAGGACCCTATCCTGTCTTCCATCACAATGTAAACAACCATCCCCTCTTCTGGCTAGACTAGGGGGTTTTCCTTGGCCTCTAGCAGACTCGAAAGCAAGTCACACTGAAAACTGCTGCTGGCAGAAGATAAGGAAGAAAGAGTGCCTGCATACGTTTATTTATTTTATCTGTGACTGCACCCGTCAGGGGGAGACTGTAAATGCCAAATACTTTATTCTAGACAGGCTGTCAGCTTCAAAGAGAGTTCTGTGAAGGGCCTGGAACCTTCTCTCCACCATTAGATGTCAACCCTGACCAAGGTAAGCTGAAGTTCCTCGGTGTCCATGAAATGAAACAGACACTCGTAGGTTGCAATTTTACTGGTAAGGCAGGTGCTGCTAGGAAGGTCCATTGCTTTTTAAGAGGGTCAAGCAGGGCTAAAGAGGAAACCTGAATGTGCAGTAGATAAGAACTGGAGTTTGGCTTAACCCCTTGCCCACAGTATTCCTGGACCCGGCGCTTAACTCACTGGGAGATATTTTAAGAAAGTGGCCTGTGTTTTCTGACTGTAAATAGGAGCGCAGCAGGTTGAACTGGGATACACCAAATATTTTTCCAACTGAGGGAGACCAGTGTAGAATTTAGATGCCAACGGGATGACTAAAGAGCCATTTGTCTCGTATTTACTCATTTAGGGGCAAAGAAAGTGGAAAGAAACAGCTGGTCGGGGTATTTGTGTTGGGAGGCAACAAGATACAGCCTGTCACAGGGAAGTATTTTAAACCCAAGGCAGATTACAGTCACGATCATTTATAGAGCCTTCAGGGTCTCCATCCCAAGCTTTTTTAAAAACCAATCAGTGCACACACAGAAAAGTATTTTAGCTGGACCTCATTGGTGAGGCTTTTGATTGTTGACTTTTTCTGAAACATTTAATCTGTGACCAACAGTACCTGTCTGTGCAGTAAGATAGGAGAGAAGATCTATGACAAGTTAGAGCTTCAGTTCTAAAATGAGTAGCAAAAAAGAAAACGAGGTTTGCCGTATTATCTCCTTATAATGAAGAACCCTTCTTCTGTCGGTAATAGTGTTTCTGTGAGGGACACAGAACCACTGAACACCCCTGATACTTCCCATAAGGTGGTGCTAACCAACTCACAAAAGCCTCCCAAGGACTCAATTCTTGAACGAATTTGTTTTTCCATTACTAATACTTCCAACACATCTTCCAAAGACAACTGTCCCGTCTCCCTCCACCAGAAAAATAACCCAACACACAGTTTCTGGAGCAGGGTCTTGGGGAGTGACATATTTATATTGCACTTAACGCTTTAGAAAACTCGAGTCAGAAATGGCATTCTAAAGAAAGTTCTGTGCTACCACAACATTTTAGAACCCAAAGAGTGTTTGTTAGTCCTCCAAGACTGGCATCCCTTCTTTAAGGTTCTTCAGCAATTAGTGAGTTGCCTGGCACATGGTAAGTGTGTAATTAATCATTCCCTCCCCTCTGGCTCTCAGGAACTTTATTCCAATAGTGATTCTCACTTTTCTTACTGAAGAGAGGGAAAGGCTTTGGTGTGGCTACTGAGAAGAATAGATAATGGGTGCTAATGAGGGTCTGGCGTTTATTGTGGTTGTCTGTTTCTCTCTGATCCCTCGGAGCCATCTTTACAGCTACGGTTATCATGATCCATCCTATTCTGCTTGCTTCATTTTCAGTTTGCCTTATCTGTTTCTTTCGGCTTAATTACAATGTGGCAAAACATACTAGATAGCCTGGATTTCATGGAGTGGTGGGGGTAGGTTAGAGAATTAGGGTTGAAGGGTGATTGTCTCCTTGTGTAGCACAGGATGGCCTCAAACTCAGAATCCTCCTAAATCAACTACCTTGCCCTTGTTTTTACCCTGATGCTTGTATCATACACACACACACACACACACACACACACACACACACACACAACAGAGAGAGGGAAGAGAAGGAGAGAGAGAGAGAGAGAGAGAGAGAGAGAGAGAGAGAGAATCATTTACCACTCTTCTAGAACCTTCAATTAGTATTTTCCTCTTCCTCTGAGATTATATGATCTTATCATTCACTAAGTATTTGCATCTTAACGTGATTCTAAAAAGCTGGTGATGCTTAGAATCCCTCATGGTGACCTCTAGCACTGTTTCACAGAGGCTTCTCCTAACAAACTTTTCATCTTACCACTTTGGAGAGAATGTAAGAAGATTGATCACGATTCCCACGAGCGTCTACGAGGACGCATATTCAAAGCGCCCGGTAGACATTTTTCACTAAACCCAGCTAGGCCTTTTATCCAGAAGATCTAATATTCCTAGAGGAAAAGAGATAATAATGCAATATGTATTACCATAAAAACTCACCATGCTTCTCAGTGAGGTTAAACTGTGCCAAACCAAATAGCATAATCAGTACCAGAGGGGATCAGACAGTAAGGGCATGGATGGAGCAACTGACATCAACTGTAACAAAAAAAAATTAAGATGACCACAGAAGTACTAGAATAATGGGAAAATTGGGATTGCAACTTGATAAGATCGTAACGAGATATCACACATTTATGAGTTCTAAAAGCCATATACTCTGGTATCAGATGGTTTTTCTTATTGCTTCCACTGTGACTGTCCTTTTTTTTTAATTTTTATTTTTGGTTTATCGAGACAGGGTTTCTCTGTAGCTTCGGGGCCTGTCCTGGAACTAGCTCTTGCAGACCAGGCTGGCCTCGAACTTACAGAGATCCACCTGCCTCTGCTTCCTGAGTGCTGGGATTAAAGGCGTGCACCACCACCACCCGGCTGGGACTGTCCTTAAGATCATATCTTGCTTCTGGTATTTCTGATGCTAGAGTACAGTGCACCTCTTTTGCTTTCTACCCTAATAATATATTAGATTTCTGGATAAAAGACTCAGAGAGGGGATCACAAGAAAGTGGTTAGAAGGAGGCTCCATACAACAGCTTTCAACCCAAAGATAAAGTTAATCATTAAAGATGATTAGAAATGACCGTGGGCAACTCTAAATTTCATCAGCTTTTTCCAATAGCTTCTAAGAGGCAACTTTTGTAGTGACCAATGAAAGCAGGTGATTACATTTCAGAGGATGGTTGAGGTCAAAAATTGACGTCCTTAGGTAAGTCTAAAGGTTTCTGTGTGTGTTGGCTATGGGAAAACTAAACAAAGATATTACAAGTAAATCATACAAATCAGATTTAATTAAGTAAAAATTAAAATTGAAAACTTATTTCCAATTTTCCATGGATCTGGCCAGCAGTTCTCAGCCTGTTGTTCACGACCCCTTGGGCAGAACTCTGTCTCCAGAAATATTTGAATTACAGTTCACGACAGTAGCAAAATTTCAGTTATGAAGTAGCAATGAAATTTATTTTATGGTTGGTGGTCACACAACATGAGGAACTCTATTAGAGGGTCGCAATGTCAGGAAAGTTGAGGACCACTGATCTAACCTGTCTAGACTGACTTAGGTGTAGATCCCTGGGAGAGGCTTATCCTCATTCCCCTGTTCCAGGTGAATTTTCTCTCTGTTTTCCCAACCCTGAATGAGATATCCTGTCTTGGCTATCTTTAACCGGAGCAATTTCAGCTCCGAGGGAACATAACTTCCCCTTTACAGACTAGCTTTAATTTAATTTGAGATTTCAGTGGTGCCCTGCTTATCTGTGCCAATCTCTCACCCCTGGACAATCAAAGCCTTCATATTTAAAATCTGTAACATTTGGGAAAATTCCATATTTTAACTTTCTCCATCTAAGTGCAGGAAAGGTAGCCTTCTGCCTATAAAACTGTGGCAAAGACTGTCTGAATCAGTACTTGCAGGGGCTTTCTGAATGCTGTTTAGCCTAAAATACAGCCTGCAAAACATTAGCAGCCTGGGGATTACCCTGTTCCTTCTTTCTTTTAGCTGTTTTCTTGCTACTGTGCAGTTAGTGTAAACTGAGAAGATGATTAGCTATCTCTTTGTGAGTTCCCTGCCCGCCTGGGTCTTAATTTTATCTCCAGACCTCTTCAGAAACAGAAGAAAAAACCCTGCCTTGCCTCAGGAGCCACTTTATCTTGGTCACCTTATCTCTTCATTCCTAGAGATCCAGGAGAATCCTACAGGCACACCCCAACACACACACACCCCTCCGGAACCTCCCTGGAGACATTTGCTCTCCAGGGAAGCAAACATTATTCAAATCCCAAACTCTTAACTTCAGTCCTTCCCTAATCCCTCCAAGCTGTCTCTGGCTACATCACTGATTTCTGCACGCTGTTATTTTATTATTATTTTCCTCCTTTTATGCAGTTGTGTTTTTCTCTTTTCCCCAGCTGGACTGTAATAGATCTGATGATAATGCCCAGTTCTTATAAAGCACCTAACAATGAAGTACTGAGTTAGGCACACATTTTCTTTGTATAGTTTTTTTTAGTGCCAAATTAAACTTCAATAGAATATGAATATACATATGCAAGGGAAGTTGGGGATTTCATGAAAAAAGTGAAAACATATAGCAAATATAAAAATGGAACAAAATACATAAAACATAGATAACTTAGATGATCTAAGCTGTGAAGTGAAGCAACCATCAATGTATGTCTCAATGCGCTGCTGCTCAAAACAACTGTGGAGCTCTCGCAGGTTCAAAGCTCACCATGTTCATGGTTTGCTCTGAAGCCCAGCCTCTTCCTTGAAATAGCCTTCATAGTGTCTACTCTTCCTAAGAAGTGTAGTTCCTTGAAACTGTTTTGAAAAAATAAAAAGATTACATAAGAAAGAAAGTAGCATTCTACCATGTTTGCCTCTATTCTGCTTTAAATATGAATTGCAATATTGATATTTCTGGTGCTTATCAGAGGTGTTATAACCACATATACCCTCATAGGCTTAGGTATTCATACGTGTCGTGCTTAGGTTAGTGACAAGCATTGCATTCGTATCAACTGTCATTACTCTCCCATGCCTCTGTCTTCGAATATTTAGGTTATTTCTGTCTTTCCAATTGGAAAGAATTCTGTGAAAAATGAGGTTTTCCACAAGTATGTTTCTCAACGTTCTTAACATTTCCTCAACACAGATTCCAATCGCAAGCTCCCTGAGCTCAGGTTATGAGTATTTATGCAAAATTCTCAGTCAGTGTCCCCTATTCAGATTGCATTTATAGAAGACTGTGGGTCACAGGCCACACACTTTTAGACAGCATTTTTTAAAAATCTTTTCAAAATGGGCAATTGAAAATGAGATTATTACTATTGCTATTTTAATTGCTTAAGCACGGAGGTAGTGAGTACTTTCAAAAGTATGACTGTGCACATTTTCGCTGTGGAAGGTTTATGCCAAATTTTACTCTTTTTTATGATAATGAAAATACTTTTAACAACACAGAGCTACTTGCTTTTTGCCACATTATTTCGAGCACATCGTCTCTCAACATGACTGTTGTCTTTAATTTTATTTGAGATGTATAGAAAATAGAAAGCACGTGGCATGTATGATGAATTTCTTCTGTAAGTGTGAGTTTGATGACTCGTGAGTTTGATGACAGCCTGAACTCATGGAACCACAATCCGGTCCCCACAAAAGCTTTTAGCACCGCTGTCCTGTCAGTTTTTCCTCCTTCCAGTCCCCAGGAGCTATGACTTTTGTTTTGTTTCATTGAATATTACAATCATCTCTTCTAGAATTCTGTATAAATGGAATCAGTGTGTTAGAACTAAGTATGGAATCATAGTGTATGGTTCTTTATATCTGTCTTTGTGAGGACTATCAATCTGTTTGTGATTTCTGGCTGTTGCTCTGTTTGTTTTTTAAATTTTTAATGAACACATAATTATGTCACTTCTAATTTTTCTTTCTATCCCTTCCTATTTCTAGCCCCTACTATATCCCCTTCCTCGAACTTCTCCCATGTACTCCTCCTCCACTGCCAAATCAATAACCTCTTTTTCTTTTATTATTATTGCTGTGCACACACACACTCACAAATAAGATAGAAACTAAACAGATAAGATAGAAAATAAATAGAAACTGCTGAGTCCTTGTCCGTTAGTTGTGTGTATATGGTTTCAGGGATGACCACTTTGTAGTGGACAATCCATCAGGGGACTCGTCATTGGGTGAAGCTGATTCTCTCTCTCTTAGCAGTCATTGGCTGCCTGTAGTCTAAGGATGGGACCCTGTGAGACTTTCTTCCTTCCACGTCAGGGTGTCTAATGAGACTGTCATTTTTCAGGTCTTGCTGTGTAACCATTTTTAAGAGAAACAGTCTCACAGCACATTTCCTGGATTTCCTGCTCCTCTGGCTCTTACACTCTTTCTGCTCCCTCTTCCACAATCTTGCCTGAGCTGGATGCAGGAGCTATAGTGCAGCTGTAACTGCTGGAGCTGTGCCTTCCACAGTCCATTGACCTTTGCATTGTGTCCAGTTATAGTCTTTTTAATGGCCTCTATTTGCTGTCAAGAGGAGCTTCTCTGATAAGGGGCAGAAGCTACACTTATCTGGGGATATAAGACGAAGATTTATTATGTAGTTAAGCAATTCTGCTGCCCTAGCAAAGTGACAGTAATAGATTCTCTCCTAAGGTCAATTACCTCATTCTCCCTGTGTGATTGCTCGTTTTCTAGTATCAGGCGTGATTTCTTTCCTGTGGAGTGGGCCTTAAGTACAATTAGATCACTATTGTTTACCACTAATCTGTGCATGCTACAATTGCACTTTTATGGGTCCCTGCCAGACTGGTCATTGCTATGGTTCATAGATATCATGCCAGGATATAACTACTAACTGTTTTCCTCTTTTGGCAGCTTCTGTAGTAATTTCTGGTAGTGTGGAATCTAGACCATAGGAAGCAATTATCAGCTTAGATTCAGCTTAAATAATCAGTCCTGTGTTCTAAATATGTCTGTCTCAGACATAGGGGCCTAACTCTCAATATTTTTATCTCCATATAATATCTCTGAGACAAGGTAGAAATGATATACATGGCAAGACATGTGAAAATGTGCATTTTATATACGAGGGTGGGGTGCGTGTAACAACAGTAACTGAAGAAAAAGAGGCCATGAATGTGAGAGGAAATGAGTAGGGAGGGAGACATGGGAGAGCCTGGAGGGATGAGACATGGGAGTAGTTGGAGGGAGGAAAGGAAGGAGGGAAATGATGTAATTATATGCTGATGAAAATAAATTATTTATCATTAAAAGGTTATATTGGCCTGAAATGCTGTTTAGAAAATGAACCTTATCAAAAAAAAAATGAGAGAATTTGAGGGTAAGTGTTATTTCTCCCCTAATGTTGTGTCAACATTCTGTGGCAAAACACTTGAAAAGCAAATTTATAAAGAAGAAAAGATGATTTTGGCTAATGACTCCAAAGATTTCAAACCATGTCCTGCTTTTGAGGGAACTGCGAAGAGAGAGCTTTGTGACAGAACCACAGGGGTTTGGGGTTGTCCAACACAGAAGCTAGAAAAAAGAAAAAGGGGAAAGAGGCAGAGTGGAGTGAGAAGACTGGGGAAAGGAGAGGGAAAGACAAAGAGACAGGCAGATCCAAAGGAGATAGAGAGAGAGACAGAGAGATCATCAGAATCCCACTATCTCTTTCCAGGGAGTCCTTCCTATGACGTAACTTTCTCCTGCTTGACTCTGCCTCCTATAGGCTCCGTCATCTTCCAATAGTTTCACAGTCTGGTGACCACTGTTTTAGCATGTGGGCCTTTGGAAGGCATTCGGATTTTCAGTTGTAGTAAGAGGACTGATTTAACTCACCCAGCATGATAGCTAGGTCTGGATTTTCTTTATGGAAAAATTTTTGTCTTTGTGCTCAATTTAAACATAAACATAGCTACAGGTATAAGAGAGAGAGAGAGACAGAGAGAGAGAGAGAGAGAGAGAGAGTTGAATTGTCTTTGTATCTCATATCACAACACTAAGCGACCTATTGTCCAATGCCTATAGATAATCATTTTGGTAATTTCATGTTCAGTCAGTTTTCTACCTGCCTGGTGTAGGGAGCCAGTAATTCCACAATAATCAAGGAAGGAATTCAAACATTTTGAACATTTGAATGTGAGGTGTGCTCTTAGCTTTCAGACTGGCAATTGTGTTTGTTCAATTAACCATGTATTTACTATTCTATGCCTGTAATAAGATTCTGACTGTCTGGTAAACATTGTATGAGATTCTTAGTCTAGAGAGTGGGATAGACACACATAACTATAGGAACATTTAAAAAATATATGGAAATATTTTATATAGACATGTAGTTATATGGAACCCATATGTAGATTACACTAATAAGAACCCTTATGAAGGTTCCTGTGGACTGCATATATCTCTGCCAAGCTTTCTTTTATACTTCACAGTAAGAATTTCAGATTCTCTTTTTTCCTCTAGAATTCATCCTGACATTCACTCTCCTTATTTGTGTAGACTTTGTAAACATTTTGCTTTTTGTTAGCTGGTGTGAACAATTCTGTACCTGTCAATTATGTTTCAAATAAACGCTGATTGGTCATTAGCCAGGCAGGAAGTATAGACTGGAAAATCAGACAGGAAGTAGATGTGAGGCAATGAGAACAGGAGTATTCTGGGAAGAAGAAAACTCTTCCCCAGTCCTGCCTAGATCACCAAAGAAGCAGGATGTGATCTGCCTCACTGAAGAAGGTTCTGAGCCATGTGGCTAACATAAATAAGAATAATGGGTTAACACAAGCTACAAGAGCTAATAAAAAGCCTGAGCTAATGGGCCAATCAGTTTATAAGTTATGAAAACCTCTGTGTAATTTTCTTTGGGACTTGCTGGCTGTGGGAACTGGTCAGGATAGAAACCCCAACAAGCAGGCCCTCATGTTACAGTTAGCATCTTGTATATGAATCATCAATGAACAGGGCATGAAGTGTTTGGTTTTTTTGGTGTGACTTCTAATTGGTGTTTGCTTTAGTAACTCAACTGCACAGAGAAGCAATCTCTCATTATCACATGAGAAGTAAGCCTTCTGCACAAGCAGTTTTTGCTCACTTTAGTTTCAGTGCAGGTATGCAATGCAGAAGCATGAGTATCCATAATAGCCAGAACCTAGAAACAGCCTAAATGCCCCTGACTGAAGAATGGATAAGGAAAATGTGGTATATTTATACAATGGATTACTAAACAGCAGAAAAACAATAATGACTTCTTGAAATTTGCAGTCAAATGGATGGATCTTAAAAAAAAAACCTATTGAATGAGGTAACCCAGACCCAGAAATACAAATATAAAATATACTCACTCATAAGTGACTTTTAGACATTTAAAAAACAGACTACAGTCTGCAACCCCAGAGAACCTAGACAACAAAGAGGACCCCAAGAGAAACATACATATATCTACACAGGAAGGAGAAAAAGACAAGATCTCCTGAGTAAATTGGGAGCATGGGAATCAAGTAGAGTGTAGAGGAAAAAAGGGGAGGAAGGGAAGGAGAGGAGAAAAATGTATAGCTCAATAGAACTAAAAGAAATATGCAAAGACAGTATGTATATTAATTCTTGAAACAATCATTCTTTTTGAAAAAAATGGTCCTGAAAAACCAAGCACTGCTCACACCCAGAGATGTGAGCGTCTCTACAGCATCTCTACACTGTAACAGTTATTTATTTTCTGGGACATTTTCCTTTAGCCTAGTGTTCCATATTTGGATATCTTCTTAAAATTAACTTTATTATAGAAACTTGCAAGTAAAAAAACACCACGCACTAAAATTAACCAGACACGAAGTCTACATCTCAATGACCTTCTAGAGATAGAATAGCCATTCTGAAGTGGCGGAGCCCTGCAATATTTTTCTAGTACAATTTTATTCATCCTTGAAGCATAAAATGTTGTTCCGAGTATATTTAGAAAGAGGACATGCAGTGGGAAAGAAGAACACAAGAGAGAAATGGGATAAATGTAATCAAAAACATTATATGCAAGGAAGAAAATGTCATAAGAAAGTGATCATTTGTATAATTAGTGTGTAAAACTAAATAAAAATTAACTTGTGTTATAATTTTCCTGTGCTGACTACATGAAATACATTTTAAAAGTAGATTCTGAAATGAATGTGATGTTCAGAGGATAAGGACTTCAACCTCAAATCATAAAAACTTGAGTTTTAACCTTGGTACATAGAGGGTTGAAGAGGAGAATCAGCTCCATCAAGTTGTCCTCTGAACTCCAGAGATATACCATTACCTCCCCCCCACACACACACAGATACACACACAGACACACACACACACAGAGAGAGAGAGAGAGAGGGAGAGAGAGAGAGAGAGA